GGGAGTGGGGGGCGGGGGTGCCGTGACAACATTTCACGCTCAGGGAACAACAGGTGCTCGGGTGTGGAGGCTGGATGCTGCAGGGGCTGGAGCCTGGCAGAATCAGAGTCGGGCCTTAGTCTCTGAGCAGTGGCGAGCCACAGTAGGGGTTGTAGCGGGGTGCCCTTATCCAGTCTGGGGTAGATGCTGAGCTGGGGTGGCTGGAAAACTCATGCGGTTCAGGAGCAAGGTCCAGAAGGTGGCCAGCTTGGGCCTCGGGGACCAGACCAGAGGGCCTTGTGGGTGTCCCGAGAAGAAGCTGTCTCCCTCGTTCTGGGCCACAGAAGGTTGGTCACGCACTCTGTCAACCTGGGGGACCATGCTGGGTGGGCAATGAAGGAGAGGGGTTCTGGGGTGGCCCGTGTGTTTCTGAGTGGATCACGGAACCATTCACTTAGAGGGGTTCACCTGGGGTGGGTTCGGGGGAGAGACAATGAGATTGGTTTTGGACATGGCAAAGTGGAGGTGCCTGAGGGGGAAGCAAAGCAAAAGAGACGTGTCTGTCACCCTCCTCTCTGCAAATATGGGTTTAGCTTTGCCGCCGACTCCAAGGATTAGGTCACTGGGAACTCTTGTTGGGGACTCACTGTGTTCCAGGCCCTGTTCTGCAGAATTTTCCAGATATTTGCTCAAACCTCAACTGAGAAGTATCCATTCTCATTATCACTGGCCCTCTGGGAAACTAGGGCACAGAGAGGCCAAGCGACTCAGCCAAGGCCACGCGGCCTTGCGTTCCATCCTGCTGCCCGCCTCTGTGCAAGTGAGGAAGACTCGCTGATGACATGAGAGTCGTGTGGAGACTTGAGAAGATGGGAGAGTCCTCCAGCCTTCTCTCTGTGTGTGCGAACTCGGTGTGAGGGGAGAGAAGGAACACTAGGCTGGAAAAACCTGCCCTGGATTTGAGTTTGGGCCTTGCAGGCGATTTCGTCACTTCTAATGTCCCTGTGCCTTGGTTTCATTTAATTAAATTTCCTGTGAAGCGAGGACCTGAGAGGTCTTTCCACTGTCGCCGAGGTGGGGCGTGGTAGTAGCTGAGGCCTAGAAAAGACCCCTGTGGAGTTCAGTGTGGGATGGATGGGAAGCGGGCCAGGGCTGGTGACAGGGGGGGACTGGGAACGTGGAGACGGGTCATGCTGGGCTGAATGGGGGGCAGGGTGTGAGGGAGTAGAGGACGCCCCCCTGCACTGCTCCGGAACTCAGGAGAGAAGCAGACCATTCCGGAGATGAAGGGGCCAAGCCACGCCCCCTGGCTCCACTCCAGGCTGAGTTCCTTACTTCTGGCCACTTGGTGGGCGTGTGGCAGCCATGTTTTCTGCCCAACCCCAGCTTCACCAAAGCACCCCTGTCTCCATCCTTGTCTTCTCAGATGGAGTGTTTGGGAAATGACAAACAAAGCTGTTTGGTTGATTGAGGCTGATTGTGAGACGTGACTAGAGATCAGCCTGGAAAGTGAACTTTCTCAAGAGGGCACTGGGGAGCCACTGAGGGTTATAGACAGCAAGGTGACAGGATCAGATTTTGGCTCAGCGTTTTTCACTATTTTTCAATACCGTCCTCTCTTGATAAGTATTAAAACCTCATCTCCAGATTTCCTCACCAGGCCCCATGAAGAGTTTGGTAGTTTCCCCACCACAAAGGGACCCAAGCCTTCCTCACATAATGTCCCAATAGAGGCCCGATTGTTTTGCTCGGTTTATCCTTGTAGTTCTTTTAACTATGTTTTTTCAAGTGAGGTTATTCAGTGCAGATGAGCTTAAGATTGCTGTATATTTCAGGTAAGCTGAATACTTGATCAAAATATAGCGACATGGGTTAGTACCAGTATTGTCTGCTCCGACAGTCACATAACAACGATGACTTCCTTTTGCTCTGATAT